ATATATATATATATATGTAAACAAGTTACGTACACATACACAAGTGTATTTACGTATATTCAATAACACAAATCTATTTATCTATCTTTCAGTCTTGTGTTGAAAGTCAACCGGTTAAGTATTGTATTTAAAGAATAATTTTATTTTTTAACGAAATTTTGTTATAAACACATTTTCTTCTACACGTACGATGATAAATTCTTTAATTTACGATTTACTTCTACATAGACATGTTTGTTCGTATTAAATACTTGTTTTACAATTTTTATTTACATTTTCATTCGATCGATAAATTATCAACGTATTTCTGAAAGATTTATGTTCTCGATGTGTGTGTGTGTGTGTGTGTGTGTGTATGTTTAATAAAATACAAAATAAAAAAAGAAAAATATAGTTCGGTCAATTAATCTAATCGATAATTTAAACATTTATATTTATTTATTATACAATAATTTTCTAATTTTTATTTGAATTTTTTTTAGTTTTAATAACTTGACCAAAGAATAAATGTGCGAATAATTTAACGAATCGTTAATTATAAAATACAACACATGTATTTTTTTTTTTTTTTTTCCTCAAAATACTTGATGTGTAAATTCTTGTTATGTTATTTTTAACTCGATCAAAATAGATTTATCGATTTATAATAAGTATACAGGTGAAAAAGTATCATTATATTTTGTAAAAACATATGGTTAACGATGTCAAGTTCAAAGTGTGCAATAAAAATATATTTTTAATTAGATGACGTTTATAATAATTGTATATTACATAAACATATTATATATTTAAATAATAATAATTAAATCATCTCTGTTACAATACTAAATTTATATTTTAATAGAAAATAATAATATATAAAAAAAAAAAATAAATTTCAATTATATATAAATAATAATTATACAATTATTTTATGTATAAAATAATTATAAATATATTATTAATGTATTATAAAGACAAAACAAAAATATTATTTTTATTTTATTTTATATATAATAATAATAATATATATAAAATATTATAATATATTAATTTAATTAGTATAATAATAAATATATAATTTTATATAATATAGAAGAAGAGGAAGAAGTTTATTTTTCAGGTATACCCATTTAAGGTGTTTACCCCGAAGGCCCCCCCTACATGTTCGTTCCCCTTGACAATATACTTAATTCTAATTATACCCTAATATAATATTAGATATTAATATTAACAATATAAAAAACACTATAAGACAATATAAACAACATAACTATATAGACTATATAAAACTATAACATACATATACTTCATATTCCTTACATCTATTTCCTTATATGTCTAATTGTTCCACTGACACTCTGTCTATCTTCTCGTTCCCCCTTCCCCCCTATCTTGGCCCATTTTCCTGCCCCATTTTCCTGCCCCATTTTCCTGACCCATTTTCCTGGCCCATTTTCCTGACCCATTTTCCTGGCCCATTTTCTTGACCCATTTTCCTGGCCAGCCTTCTCATATATGCACACAGTTGGGGCACCGGTTCCCCCTTCAGCGCCATTTCTACTCTTCTATCTCAATTTTATATAATATATTATTGTGGGGAGTATTGAAAATCGAAGAGGTTGTGTGTGTAAGTCTGTGTGAGTCCATAGGTCCGAGAGGTTATGTGTGTAAGTCGGTGTGGGTCCAAATGTCTGAGATGTTATGTGTGTAAACCGGTGTGGGTCCAAAGGTTCGAGATCGTTTTGAAGATGCAGGGGTGGGGGAGAAACCTCATAAGGATAGGAGGACGGTCACGCGTCAGGGGTTGGTTTTTCCGAGAGTAGCGTGGAGAGAACCGAGCGACGAGAGCGAGTGATTCGAGCGAGTATTTCGAGCGAGAATAGCGAGTAAATAGTAACGAGTGAGTAGTGAGTGAGTGCGAGAGATTGCAAAGCATTATTGTAATTGTACTTAGAATTGTAATGGTAAATTGTAATTGTAATAAGCAATCATTTGCGAGAACAAAGAATATCTTTTATATCTCAAGTAGTGTCAGCAACACGGGGGAATTAGATATCCTTAGCCGGATATAAAACAATTGATTTCTCTACATTATTATTATTATTATACATAATATATATTATATTATATTATATATATATATATAATTATATATTATTATAAAATATAAATATGTTATTATATAATATATAAATTTATAATATTTATATAATATATATTTTAAATAAGAAAAGAGTTATTAAAATTGAAAAAAAAAAATAAGAAATCTATTAAAAAAAAAACAAAAAAAAATAAAATATCGAAATAATTTTCGTAGTGAAACGTAGTATCAACATACTATGAATCAAAGTCATGTGTTTATCCTATCATTAAAACTTTCACAGTACAATTCACGATTATTATTCAACGTTAACTTGTAATATAATTAATGAATCAATATATAATTAGTGTATGATTGCAATGTAACATTTCACGTAGTAAAATCAATGTAATTTCTATATCTACATAGACATATCTTTATACGTGTAATTTATTTAAGTAAAAAAAAAAAAAAAAAATAAAAAATTACATCTATCGTAATATAATACATATATACATATACACATATACAGATAGCATATAACATTACCTTCTCTTTCATGAAATCAAGGTAGACTTCGATTAGTTGATTCTTTTTTTTTTTTTTTTTTTTCTTTTTTTTTTTCATTGTTTCACGTAATCGAACGAGAACGGTATTTATAACATTCACATATGACGCATGTGTGTAATTTAAATATATGTATACATATACAATATTATCTAGTTAATCTATGTTTGAGAAGGTGGTTTGTGTGTTGAGTTTTATAATTACAGTGAAGAACAGGTTTCTCGTAAATAAATTTAAATTTTGAGTTCGTTAACTCATAAGAAGGCGTGTACGTTAGATCAATGATTTGATTGGTTGAAATTCTCGTACGTTACCACCGTAACTCGTGTTTCTTTTTTTATTTTATATAGAAAAGTTGTAACATTTTTTTTACCTTTTTCTTTTTTGCTTTCTATTTTTTTATTTTATTTTATTTTTTTTTTATTTACAGTAGTAGTAATGGTTGATAGTAATTAACCCTTAGAGTGCTATTGACGCATATATGCGTTTGGTAAAAATTATCAGAGTGGTCTATCGACGCATATACATGTCTCTTAATATTACTGTAAAATTAAAATTATAAATTATTAAATATAATTTATTATTAATAAATTATTCCATTTCAACGAAACATTTTCATTAAAAGTATGTATCACTGAAAGGGTTAATTTGATGGGAGATACACAAGGACGAATGGAAATAAAAGCTCGTAGATAACAGTCCATGGTTATTGGTGAATACCATTTACTTCAGTTCATTTCCCATGAGAGTAATGCATTATTCAAAAGAGTCGTTATTTCATGTGAAGTATGAATGTTCATTCGAAACATAGACATATATATATATCTTGTTGTGTTTTATTGAAACAATTGTATGAAAAAGGTTGTTCTTGATTGTAAAAAAAAAAAAAAATAAATAAAAATAAATAAATAATTGTATTTGTTATTACAGTAAACATGTCGAAGTCGGGAAGCATCAAAGATGCCGAAAAGGGTCCATACGATCCTGTACCAACCAATAATGAGACCGGAGGGGATGAAATTAAACTCGAAGCAAAAATGTCACTTCTCAATGGTGTCACCGTGATCGTTGGTTCAATCATTGGTTCTGGCATATTTGTCAGTCCAACTGGTGTATTAAAACATACCGGAAGTGTCAATGCTAGCCTTCTGGTATGGACTGCTTCAGGAATCTTTTCTATGGTAAGCATTTATCAATTAATTTTAAATGAGAATTATATAAAGTAAGATCTGTACGTTAAATAAATTAATTAAATTTCTTATTTATATTTTTTCTTGTTACAGATAGGTGCCTACTGTTATGCCGAATTAGGTTGCATGATCAGAAAATCTGGAGCTGATTATGCATATATTATGACAACGTTTGGACCATTCATGGCATTTGTCAGACTATGGATTGAATGTATGATAGTACGTCCTTGCAGTCAAGCTATCGTTGCATTGACCTTCAGCATTTACGTTTTGAAACCTTTCTTTCCTGACTGTACACCACCAGAAGATGCTACAAGATTACTTGCAGCTTGCTGTATATGTAAGTGTATATTGTTACATATATA